GTCTTTATATACAGTCAGTGATGGTGTTTATATACAGTCAGTGATGTCTTTTGTCTTTATATACAGTCAGTGATCATCTTTATATACAGTCAGTGATGTCTTTATATAGAGTCTCCTCAGGCTGCAGAGCTCGTCCTTGTGTTTTGTTTCTACTCCTCCAGTGAAGCGGTGATGTACCAGGAGCCACATGAAAAGCTCGGAGCACGTCTGTTAGTCAAGATAAAGGGACGTTCTTCTACCAGGCTGCAGGTTCAGGCAAATGATCCCACTGGTTTGAAGGTGGAGTGACCGACTACGTATCCAGAGCAACAATATGAAATATTAAGTCTTCACATCGAAGCTCTGGATGCAGACTCCACACATCAGTGTGTTTTTCACTTCCAGCCTGAAACTCTGCTGTGGCTGGATTTGATCCAAACAACATCCGACTGATTTCTTTTCATTTCTAGTTTTATCAAATTCAAAAAAAACTAAAATCTCTGTGACTAATGTTTTAAAGTAAAATTGACCATTTGCAGCAACTGTGTGCAGTGAGCAGCTCTAGATCAAAAAGCCAATCATTGATTTGCCTTCGGTGCTTCCTCCCGTTAAACTACGCACTCACAAATACAGCTGTGCTCGGATGAGGTGGGGGTTAATACATTCTGTGATATGGATTTTATCAAATGGATGAAACTGATATTCCATCGGCTTCAGATACACATGGATATAAATGACGGCATCAGAGCAGGAGAGTATCTGGAGCAGAATTACCGTTAACTGAAGAGGACATGCATGACAGAGAGGAACACCAACGAAGACAGAGAGAGTTCAGTCAGACAACACGTGGCTAACTGAAGCTGCGCAGAGTTTATCAGATCAACATGTCAACACCACAGTCTGAACACTTTACACTACAGCTGCTTTTACAAACTGGAGAAATTGTTTCATTTCGGGAAATAAAAACTTTAAACCTGACTTCTGTTGATGTTTCAGTGAGATCAACACAGTGACTGTCTGAGTGAGGGGAGATAAACAATGGCTCTGTTTGTCTGGACGTCCTGTCGAGTCAGAACGTTACAGGACAAATATCACAAAGTGTGAAGTGGAAGTCAGACAGAAAATCTTCAACTGCTTTGGTTATGGCCACAAAGAAAACCACCAGCATGTGATTTCTCAATGAGCCACAAAGCCCTGAGTTCACTCTACCTGGTCTCCTCATCAGTCTATGTGAATTTTAAATACACACACGAGCACGTGTTAATTGATTGATAGAACAAACATACTAAAAATATGTTTATTCTGAGATGTTCACACGGAGCGAGCATTAAAAACACAAGGTTAAAGAAGCGTCTGAACACAGACGAGTTCATGTGCAGTTTGTAACGTTTACACTCGACTTTTTAACAAAACTTTTTCACACCCCGCCAATGGTTTGGGGGCCTCTGACGAAACCGTCACTAAAAGAGAAGAATTTAAATCGCGTTGTCTCCATAACGTGAAGTTTGAGATTTCATGCGTAGATGAAGCACTTTTCTCCTAATGAACGTAAAACCATCCACCAGGAAGAGTTTGGTCGGATGAGAGCTTTAATGTTTATAACATAACTGTTTACATTCAACTGCAGACACCAGGTCTGTGTTTGACTCCTTACTAAGGAACACGACCATCTACTCGATTTTCAAAACCTCATTTCAAACAGTTTGAGTTTTTTTTTACCTTTCTCCAAAATATCTTCAGCTCCTTCCTCCCACTGATCGTCCTCATCCTCGTACTCGTCGTCCACATCTAGAAAGAGAGAGACAGAAAGACGGACAGGTTAGAGATTAATTCATCACTGAGAGGCAACAAGAGCGTCACGAGCAGAGGACGCTGAGGACAGAGACAAGAGGAAGGAGGACAGAGGTAGGAAGGATGGAGACAGGAGGAGGGGGATAGAGGGAGGACAGAGACATCGGGAGGGAGGATGGAGACAGGAGGAGGGGGGATAGAGGGAGGACAGAGACATCAGGAGGGAGGA